ACATCTTTTTATAGGCTAAAATCAGGAAGAGTGTGTGTCCGTGTGCGTCTTCTTTTGTGCGTGTGTGCATTTATACTGGCCTGCATGTAAATCAGGGTTGAGGTCAATTCGCTCAATTTAAGACGTAGATTTTAAAGACTGAAAGAAATAAAAGGAGGGGGTTTCAGCAAACGAGTTGCTGAACGCTTCTTATCATTTTAGTTTTTCTGCTGGTTTGCTGTCGACGTGAGTTCACCCCAGCCCTGGTGCGAGTCGTTTCCACTCTCCTCCAGTCTTTCCTGTACCCAGGGGTGTGTGTGTGTGTGTGTGTTTTATTTTGCATTGAATTCTACTGTAAACACTACAAACTTTTTAAGGCATATCACTTCCTCCCTGTCCCACACAAACCCTCAGTGCCTGTCAGCCCACTGCCTCCCCCTTTTTTGTGTGCGATTCTGCGTGGATGCACGTGCACGCATGCCTGTCAATACATGCGTGTGCACACGTGTGTGTGTTTGAGAGATCAAGGAGTGTTTGTTTCCAATGAGTGGGGTCATATTTCTACTTGCACACACTACTAGTGCACAACTGACACCCTTCTTTAAGCTGTTTGATGCGTTACCATTGCATTAATAATTGTCTCACAGAGTAGTGTAATACTATGATTTACTGTAGCTTGGTTTTATTGCATTTATAGTTTGGTTTTTATTCTGCTTATTTATAGGTGCTGTATTTTTTTTTTCCATTTAATGTCTTATCATATGAGTTGTCTATTTTTTAAGGGATTATACTGTTCCTGAGGGCAAGTAACATTTTTATTAGACGTATAGACTGCCGGCAGTATTGGTTAATATTTACAAAGATGTACTAGTTCTCATTTGTTTGTATATTCATGAATCCTAAAGTTTAGTGTCATTTCAAATAGCTTTGAAAATGTGTTTGCTACACTTCATGCTCCCATAAGCGTAAAGCTCTCACCGCAAACTGCTATGCGCTTAAATTGCTAGCTAGAGAATCAAAGGACATATCAAGATCAGTGAACATGTTTTATTTTGTTTTATTATTTTTTCCTGCTTTCTATTCTCGGATCGTGTTGTATCGTTTCTCTCGAGCGAGCCCGACGCTGCCGCTCCTGCGGGGCGCGCAGTTTTATTTAGCCAGACGTCGCCGTCGTCCATTAATCACACCGACATAATTAACCGCTCCAAATTTACACTCAAATAGGTCAAATGAAATTACCTAAACTTGAGAACGCGTGCGTGTTAACTTGAAAGAGGTCATATCTGCCAAATTGAGATTAGAGAAGTGTACCAGCGAGCAGGTGTGCTACGCCATATCGAGCAGAGATAGCCAGCCTATGATTATGCAGAATTTCTATTGCAGTTCGTAACGAAGCACTTATGAGGATCTTTTTATGACTCAGCCTCGGACAGGGTCTGTAAACACTACTACAGAGTACCAGCCCAGGATGCTGGGACGTGGCTGCCTTTTTTCTTTCTTCTTAAGAAAAACAAAGTGGTTGTAAACCAAGCACAGACTCTTCTCCACGTCCTAACACTAAAACTGAAAACGTAAGGTGGCGTGTCTGTCCAACTCTGACTTCAAACTGCAGACAACACAAAACGCTCTCGTCCTGTACAGTTGTAGATACTCCGAGACGTTCTCGGGTTTTATTCAGGCTCCATCCTCCTTCACTGAAATCTTATTTTTCCTAACGTGTCCGTAAAGTTTCTCTTCCGCAGCTCCCAACAGGACAACCACGGCGTGTTTGATGGAAACGAACAGCCGTGTTTAACGTTCAGATCGTTTGAAACGAAGGCGTGCTGCAAAAAGAAGTAAGTATTTTACCTGTTGTAGCTAGCTCTTTGAATGACCTCAGTTTGGATTGATTTATTTATTTCTGTCTGGATTAACGAGCTGACGGCTAGTTTGAGTGAAGCAGAGTCCAAAGTGAATCGTTGCTCTTCAAATAACTTTATTTAAAGACGTAAAGCGGCTCAGATGAACGCCTTCTTTAGCGACGTGGTTAAAAATCAAACGTGCACGTTAATGTCTGCTCGTTCATAGGCAGAGAAAGAAGCAACATTAAACTTTAATCCTAAATTATGTTTTTTAATTTGTTGAAAACCTCTGATGGTTACCATCAGGGGTTGTAATCCCACCCCCCTGCTATGAGGGTCCTCAAATAATCTACAGAAATCAAATTACGTTCAACACAATTATTCCTAATGACAGGTTTTTATCATATTTGTCACAAAAAGAAAACCACTAGTAATAAATTCACGGTTAAAAAAAATCATCCGCTGTATTTGAGCTCTTTGTTTATTAGGTATATATTCATATTTGTACATAAACCAGTGATAGTTGAGGTAACGATGTCAGTTTATAAATACAGCACATTAAAAACAAAGTGAACCAAAGTGCTTTAAAATTTAGTCAAACTAAATGTTGAAATGCAACAAAATATATGAAAGACGCATTAAAAAAAGAGAAAGAAATGCAATATATTCACATGACTGACTGTATCTCTGCACAGATTTAAAATCATTTCTAAAAAAAAAGTAATTTTTGTCAGAGATTAAAAAAACAACAACTCAGCAATGCAGTCCGTATAAGCCTTTTTTGGGGGAGTAACAAAAATGTAAGAGCTCATGTTTTATTAAAATGCCTTCATATAAATCACTGGTAATAACAATTGTAGTTTTAAGAAGCTTTGGTCTCGTCCCCACTCAAAATGCAACCCCGTTCCTCCAAACTGAGGTCATTCAACGAGCCGTCTGTAACAGGTAAGATGATAGCTGCTCTGAACGTCTCAGCAGAACCCCTGCTTAAAAAGATCTGCCTCAAACCCTTGTCCCATTTTTTTTTTTTTAAAGCCAGATCCCATTCGTTCACCGGAACCAGCAAGATCATCAGATTTGTGCCTTTAACTGCCAAGCAGGGCACCAAACTAGTGATGTCTACAGTTTCAGCTGATGTCTTGCGCCTTGGTTCCCCCCCCACCCCCCCACCCCCCACTCCTAGAATCCATGTTGGTACTTAAAGGCCTCTCGGCTCTTTGGAGCGAGGGGCTGAGCGTTGGAGAGCAGACTTCAAGCGTACCCCAGCGACTGAGCTGCAGTCCCGTTTCAGTCCAGGTCGTATTTCAGGCGGTTATTTTTATATTTTGTCTTGGCCCCGCCCCCACTGAACTTCTTATGCTGTACATAAACTGTCAGCGAACAAGACCAGAGCGTGGAATGAAGGAGGAAGCATGCAGAACACAGCATACACTGTAATAACACTGAATATCTTCACAGGGCATTTTTGTATTTTTCTTTATTTTTCTGTTTATGTCAGGTTTGTTGTGACGATGATAAACGGCACTACAGGTATTGATAATGACGCGTGCCAATTCTGTTTTTTGGGAAAAGAGACGTTGTAAATACGATCGATCGATCGCGTAGCCGATTGATCTCGCTGTTGTCGCGGTGCAGGAGAGTAGAAGAAGAAGAAGAAGAAGGGACGATTCAGGACTTTTTTCCATGATCCACAGATATTTTTCTACAAATTTAAATCAGATGATTCTATACACTGTTGAATAACATTGTAAAGGTGTAACAGATGCTGTATATCATATCAATGTTTTCTGAAGTCGTAAAAAGCTTTACTGTATGATCTGTCGTAGTTCTTCGTTTGACACGTTCGTTGTGATGGAAGCCCGAACAGCAGCACTGGTCACCATATTCAGGAAAAAAGAAAAGAAAAAAAACAATTAAAAAAAAAAAAAAAAAGATAAAAGAAAAACCTCAGATGTTTTTTGTAATACTTTTAGAATATATCTTATGAAGTGGGGTTTTTGTAAGGAAACACTTTCTGAATCAGCGGTGCTGTATGCAGAGCACACAAACATTTACACACAAACGCAGCACAAAGAAATACACTCGTCCTTTTTACCCCCCCACATCACGACATCAGCTTCAGTTCCAAGTCTTAAGCCATTTTATCACCTTCTCCTACGTCCTGTTTAAACGGAGGTCATCTCAGGCGACTGACTCGTTTCGTCCCGTCGACTCGTTCTTTAGTCGAGACTCGCAGACGAAGCAAAAAAGCCAAATAGTGATGAAGTCGTCCGCTTGGGTTGGCGGAGGGGAAAGGGTCGGTTTCCTGCGTTTCGCTACCTAGAGTCGTTAATTCTGTTGACCCGTTAGCCGGAACCTGGTGTGTGTAGTCTGACAACCAAATGGCCTGGGGAGATCTCCACCCCCACCTCCTCCCTCGTTTGGAAAGCTTTAAGATGCTCGTTGAGGCTTTAGAAAACTTCAGTGTTTCTAGATGATTTAGTTTCTCCGACCCGTCATCATCAACGTGGAAGTAATAATTCATCACTTCTCCCACTGCTTATTTTCTGTGTGTGTGTGTGTGTGTGTGTGTGTCGTACAAGAGGCTGCATGACTGTAAAGGGATGTTACAAAGTTTTTATTTTGTTTTTAAGTCTGCCTTTCGGGGTCTCCCTTCTTTTTTTTTTTTGTTTGTTTGTTTTGTTTTTGTTTATTCCCTCATGTATCATGGTTTCTTTAGCCTTTCTATTTACTAAACGTATCATGTTGTTTGTTCTTAGCACTGTAAAACAGTCCCTTCTACGAACATTGAAAAGCAATATCACTGTATGAAACGTTCACGATGTATTTGTTATGATTGACATTTGATTCATCATCATTATTATTATTATTATTATTATTATTATTATTATTATTCACATGCACCCTAGGTGTGATAATTGAAGTAAATCTCTTTTATACAAATACTAAAAGTGTGCTTTTGGTGTTTTTATTTTTCCTGGAAAATGTTATTTTAACACGTGACTTGTCCAAAAAGAACGTATTCTCAGAGAAAAGAAGTCAGTCAGAGCTTGTTAGGGTTTCAATATGATTCAGTCATTCACAGCTTCTTCAGGTGAGTCGTCTTAAACTAATATTTGAATTTTACCAGCGTGAGAAAATTAGAGAGTTGATCTACAAATGATCTGTTCTCCCCCGCAGGCCGCTACTCTGAGCTTCAGGTGGAGTTTTCAGCCGCGGTGCGAACCAGCGCCGAGCAGAAGGAGCTGATCGTGAAGCTGGAGCACGACCTGAGCACCATCCAGGCCTTGTCCTCCCTCTCACGCCCCGATGCAGACGGGTCGGAGGTCGTCAACATTCCAGAGCCCATCAAAGAGGCCACTGAGATGTTTAGCGGTAAGTCCCAGGATCGACTAAAGATGTTCTTGTTTGAAAGTCAGCGACGAAATGAAAGTTATTTGGGAAAAATCCGCATAAATTGTTTTGTTCATTTTTGTTTTGTAGATCAAAGTGTTTTATAAAACACTCCTGAGTTAAAATGTTGCTGATAAATTTGAATTTATTATTATTTATCGATTATATTTAATTTTATTTTTCAGTATCAAATGGTCCAAAATGTTTACAGTTTAATAAAGGACTGGGTTTTTTTTTTTTTTAGGCACATTGATGCACTTTAACTTGTTTCTGTTACAGATTAAAAAAAACCCAAAGTTAATAAAAGTTATTCTTCGTTGTAAGTTGATCTATATATATTTTTTTTCTTTAGTCTTAATAAGGACACAGTGTTAGGCAGAGGTGTAATTATAACAATTTTATAGACTAATGATTCTATTTACAGTCGCAGTGGAGAGTTTGGGGGGGGGGGGGGGTTTACACTAAACTCTAGCGCAATTCGAGTACAGTGTGAATGCAAGCAGACCGGGCATCTCTCCACAAGCAGGAAGTGGAGTACAATAACAGAAATAATTGAGAAGCACTGCCTTAAATGATGCCACATTTCTAAAGAAAATGCATTTGTGGTTCAAGCAGCAGAGTTGAGTATGTGCAGGGTTCTGCAACCTTTAGGAGCAAAGGAGCCATTTCTGCCCTTTCGTTCACTAAACTAAACGTGTCCAGAGCCGCAAAACCTGCTACTATTATCATTATCAACTGGTGGCCCATGGGCCACTTTAAGTTTGGTAGAGGGGGCTTTTCTGGCCTGTAGGTGTGAAATTATAAAACTAAAAACATCCAATGATTGTTAACATTTATTAATATTTTTACATTTTGAGTCAAAAGAAAAGACTTGATTCCATCCGTCCAGCTATCCATCATCTTTACTCGCTTTTTTCCTTTTTGGGTTGCAGGGTTCACTGGTGCTCATATCCAGGTCGCAAATCTAGCACAGAAGACTGGATTCTTGTAAAAGAAAAAAAATATTATTTTGCCAATTTTTAAAAAAACTAAAACAATGAACAGTTCAGGCTTATGTGTTTTTTTTTTTTAATTATTATTTATTTTATTGTGGAGAAATTGAGTATCCTGTTTTGAAGAAATAAAGCATAAAGTTAAACAGAGTATAATTTACTCTGTATTAGTACTAGTATCCACATATTTGCAAAGGAAATGACAGGAAACTGCTAAAACTAGTTTTGTTTGTTTGTTTGCGGTATAACATCCTATAAAATTCAGTTTTCATTCATTCAAGTTTATTTGAACAAGGACAGCACATTAAACAATGTTACATGTTAAAAACAAAAACGTTGGTTACGTACTGTAACCCCAGATTCTATGAATATAGGCGTAGCCCTTTAAGGCTGTCGCTGATGGTTTATCCCGTTATGCGCAGCATAAGCACTGAAAAAAAATTAGTCCACGCCCACCTGCTGTGTGGGCCCCACCCGGTCCGTATAAATTACGTTAAGAGCGGGAAATCGGCTCCCAAAATAGCTTTTTTCTTCAGCCATTTAGGAGCCAGTGAGGCCCGACGCTTAAAGGGCTACGCCTATATTCATAGAATCTGGGGTTACAGTACGTAACCAACGTTCTATTTCATATAGGCTTCGCCCTTTAAGGCTGTCGCTGATGGTTTAAGGGCGAAGCGGATGTGGTCCTCGCCTCACTGGGTCCATTCGAACACAGTAAGAAGCGGAAGCTTGCCCAAAAAACGTCTTGTCACTCAGCTCCCCGTGTGCATAAACTACGCATCGCGTAATTAAGTGCCATGCACAGACGCATGTTGTGTAACTATGCGTTCTGACAAACATGAATACCCCGGAAAAACTTTCAACGGGAAGAGGAAGTTTAAAAGAGGGGGGGAGGGGGGCATGAACCAACTGGTTCATGGCTGAACAGTATAAACAGATTAATGTCCATGAATTGATCAAAAATCAAATGAACTGATTGTTAACAATAATCATGAACTGATTAGTGACAATAGAACCAAAATCACAGACACGACTGTGACTGAAAACAACATCTCACACTGTAATGCATGCAGACAGAAGTGAGCTTAAACAGAGTTCCATGAGAACAACAATATTCATTCTGTTAGGGCACTAAGGACAGAATGTGTCATGGAACGAGCCGTTACATCACGTAGGTAAAAGCGAATAAATGAGCAGGGTGTTGACCATGCAGCCGCAGTGCAAATGTCCTGCATTGACATACCATTATGCAGAGCAGTCGAAGATGCGATACCCCTGGTCGAGTGTGCTTAGAGGTTGACAGGAGGCCCTAAATCTGATGCTCTGTAGGCTTCAGAAAAAGGCCTCACACAGCCAGTGTGACAAGCGCTGGATGGGTAACGGCGACCTGCAGAAGCATCTCTATAATGCACAAACAATTGTTGAATTTGAACGCATTGCAGCTGTGCGCGTTACGTAACACGTCAACGCCTGCACCGGGCAAAGAAGATGAACAGATGCTTCCCCTTCTGATCTGTGGGGGAAAAAACCCCTCCAACGACATCACTCTTGATTTAAAAGAGCTCGTGATGTTTTAGGCATAAAAGCTGGGTTGGTCTTAAAAACAGCTGAGCTGCCCGTCAGCCTAATTCTAAGGCATGACGAAACAACAGAGAGGGCAGATAATTACTTACCCTCTTAGCGGGTGTTAAAACCAGCAGCAGGACTGTTTAAAGAGACAAGAATTTAAATGAAAACTGATCCAGAGGCTCAATTGAAGCTTTGATCAGGGCTCGCAGGACCAGCGTTAAATCCCACTGTGGAACAAGTGGACATGAAACAGGCCTACATCTCTGTACACCTTTTAGAAACCGCTTCATCAGCGGGTGATTAAAAGCTGTTCTGTCTCCAAACCCTTTGTGGCAGGAAGAGATGGCTGCAACGTACGTTAAAGCGTACTGAAAGCCAACTCCCTATCCATCAGGTGTTGTAGAAAAACAACACGCTGCCTAAAAAGCATGAAGTGGTCTCTAAACCTTCTCTGTACACCAGCGCTGAAAAGCCGTACCCTTGATGTGTACAGAACTGTGGTAGATGCAGCACGTGAATCTTGAATTGTGCACACTATCTCCTGAGGGAGACCCATCCTCTAAGTGGGACCGCTCAGCGGTCAAACCCACCGGTGTTGACCTATTTCTGGGTAACTCTTGGTCGCTCCTCCTGCCTGAAGGAGAGCATCCTTCCTCCACGACAGTTCCACGGCGACCCCACAACAGACGTTGCAGGCCTGGGAACCATAGTGCGTTCACACGCCGGGAGCCACCAGGAGAGCTGTCAATCCCTCCTCCTGAACTCGGTTCATGGACCGTAAAAAACAGAGGAGGTGAGGGAGAAGAAACGCGTAAAAAGCGTTTTGGGCCACCGACTGTGAGCAAATGCGTCCCCCCCCAGCGATGGATCGTCTCGCGGGCTCAGGGAAAAAACCGTAGTTGACATAGCGCGTTCTTCTCGCGTCGCAAACAGGTCCACAGCTGCTTTGCCAACTTCTGCTGTGTCTGAAAAACATCAGATCCGGATGGAGGATCCGGTCCACATAACGTGGGCCGCCCTTGGACGTCACATCAGCCCCTCTGTTCAGAAACATCGGATATGTAAACCGCTCTAATAAAAGCAGGTTTGATGAACCCAACTCAGTAGCTTCCGCGCAATGTGTAACATCTGGGCTGAACGCACACACCCCTGGCGGTTTATGTACGCAGCAGTCATCATGTTGTCTGTGTGAATCAACACGTGTTGATTCTGTAGCACGGGAGCAAAATGTTGAATCACATTCAGCACTGTGCGACACTCCAAAACATTGATGTGGGCTGATGTGCGGTGGGGCCACAGCGCCCCTACTGCTTGAGATAGGCATGTCCCCCCCCCAACCTGACAGAGACGCGTCCGTGAAGACTGACACGTGACGTGGGTCTGCTGACGGGGACTCCCTCTGACAGAGCCAGGGTGTTTCTCCAGTGTCGGAGGTCTGCTCCCATGGAGGGAGGGACAGTGATCATCCGTCTCTCTTGTTTTACTGGATCCACACGCAGACGCGTAAACCACCTCTGGAGGCGTCTCATGTGTAACAAACCCAGCGGGACCACTGTGTGAGCTGATGACGTCATTCCCAACAGCTTCATGACGGAGACAGCTGTTACCACTTTGCCAGGTCTTACGTGGCGTAATTGGTTTTTAGAGTGTCGATTCTTGTTTGTGATAAACGAGCCGTCATGGTAATTGAGTTTAATTCCACTCCCAGATAACAATTATCTGGGCCGGGAAAATCGAGCTCTTCTTCCAGTTATGGCGAAGCCCAGATTTAGCAGGTGTGATGCTAACACCTGAGCCTGTATCAATGCTTCCTGTCTGGAGTGAGACAGGGGCAGCAGGTCGTCCAGGTAAAACAAAACTCTCATCCCTGCTTGTGCAGTGGATGCAGGGCTGTCTCCACACACTTTGAGAACGTACGAGGCGCGAGGGAGTACCCAAAACAGGCAACCTGTTGTACTGGTACTTCATCCCTTGAAAGGCGAAACGCAGAAATTTTCTGTGTTTTGGGATGATTGGTGTGTGAAAAATAGGCATCTTTTAAAACGATGGAGACAACCCAGTCGTTTCCTGGATGTTGTCCAACAGCTGTCTGTTCATCAACATGTGAAAAAAATCTGTTCATGATCGCTTTGTTGAAAGCTGACAGATCCAGAATCGGTCTCATCCCTCCGGTCCTTTTGGGGACCAGGAAGTAGCGTGAGTAAAACCCTGTGTTTTCCTCCTCGTTGGGAACTCTTGAGATTACACCTTTTATCAGAAGCTCTTGGACTTCTGCATTTAAGGCTGAGACTTGGTCTGGTGATGACAGGACCGTCTCTATAACTCCTCCGAACGGAGGGGGTCGGGTTGCAAACTGCAGCGTGTAACCCTTGCATAACACTCTGTCCATCCATCTGTCCGGTGAGCATGTTTTTAACCACTCTGCGTGACGTTCGTGGAGTGGACGTGCGTTTAAATGATGTGCCGTGTTTTGAACGGATGTCGTCCAAACCTCCGCCTCGACCGCCGTCATGCGTCGCGGAAATGTTTTCCGCGTGACCCAAGGCGAGGCTTTCTCGAAAGGGCTGTTCTGCGCGCGCCCGTGCGCTGTGACTGGATCGCGGACCAACCTTCATGTCCGGGCGGGGCGGTGTGTGCTGAGGCGAGGCGTGTGTCAGCTGATGTCGAAGTGAAGGTTGTGAGCCTCGCGGGAGCGCACGTTTTCTCTGGAGGGACGCGCGCCGCTCTCGCTGAGGGCGGGGCCCGTCATTGGATTCATTCAGCTGTCTCACGCTTATGCCGCCGTGAGCTGCTGATCGCTGAGACGCGGTGGATGACGGCCACTCGCGTTCATTCAGGAGAGGCGTGTGTTGTTTTCGCTGAGAGCAGGGACCTCCACCGAACCCGGCCTGCGGTCCCACATTTATCCCGATGTGGGCCGGTGAGCGCCGGGCAGCTGTGCGTGCATCATCGACACAGTGCCGTTTTGGATGGAAGCTGCTTGTCTCGCTCGGGAGCGCGTTAACACCGTTGGGAGGTGATCGTGCGGGTCTGATTGACAACAAGTTATTTCGCTTACCGTGGTGTCACGTGAGCGTCTGGGCATGTGAAGGAGCGGCGGTGGATTTTAAAAAACCTTTATTTAAGGACACCGGCTCTATGAGTGGAGGATGTGTGTGTAGCGGCTGTGAGCTCATCCGAGCTTACAGACTGGCTAAAAACAGGCATTTTGATCTTTGAAAAATCATTTATTCAATTCCTGTGTCATTTATACACACATCCTCCGCAGACCGTCATTTCTTAAAACTTCTCCCCCGTGAGCCCTGTGGTTTGTTTGCTCCGAGCGTCATCTGCAGGCGATCTCTGGGGAAAACGCTGAAGTGCAGGCTGCCGGACTGAGGAGGGGTGGTCTCTGGCGGGCGGGGCTGGTGGTGGAGCTGGGCGAGACGAAGCTGCTGCTGCCGTGGAGCGTCGATGTTTCTGCCTCTGCTTTCGGCGGTCTCTCCAGCGGGCTGGAGGACGGAATGAGCCGCGCGGCTTGATGAGATGGCGTACAGCTTCCGACGTCTCCTCCGACTGCTTCGAATTCGTCAGCATGGACGTCAAGCTGCTTCCGAACAGCGCGTCCGATGAGATGGGGCCCTCCATCCGGTCCTTGTGCAGCTTTCCCGGCAGCAATGGAGAGTGACGGAGCCAGTTGGAACGTTGGATTACCGTCATCCATGCTACAATCCTCGACAGGCAAACCGAGGGAGCGGCGCACATGTTGAGGGTGGCGTCTGCCGATTACACAGGGAGCTCTTTGTCTCCTCCGGCAGGTGAGAGGTCTCTAGCCTTTCGACATGCTAAATGCTAGCAGCGCATGTTGTTGCTAACTGCGGTTGCCTGAAAACACGTCGGTGGGCTCGATTGGAGAGCTTTGGTCGCCGTCTGGTTCCTCCGGAGGGACGGGACGCTGCTCCGACCTGGACAGCTTCGCTCCGGAAGCTTCCGCGAGGCTTGGCTCCAGGGGAGGGAACCGAGGAATAGCGTCAGTTGCCTTACAGAAGGAGTTCTTTGTCTCCAAGGCAGGTCTGCGGCCTTCAGACCCTTGGACATGCTATATGCTAGCAGCGCACGTTGTTGCTAACTGCGGCTGCCTGGAAAACACGTCAGTGAAAAATAACCTTTCCGCCGATCATCCGAACTGGCGGGAAAAGGCGAGGGACGTAGAAAAAAAGGTGTCCCTTCATGTCAGCCTCCTCCCGGGTTCCGCCGGGCAACCCCTGAGGGCGCTGTCGGCCGGGAGCGGTGAGATCGCCGATGCGAAACTAGGTGGGATGGGGTGAGCATTCACTCAGCCCCCCTCCACCTACACTACGCTCCCCGGGAGGGAATGAGCAGCGGGGGCTGCAGCTGAGCACACCTTGCCCCGGAGGAACCATCCGGTTCGCCCCGAGGGTCGGCGATAAGAGGAAAAAACACAAGATGGCGTTGTCCAGCGTGTAATGACCTGTCACTGGGAAAGTTCCCCGACGCTTACCTTGGAATAAGACTGCTGTCATCTTCTCCTCGGGGAGGAGAACTCACCGGACGACCGGAGGTCGACTGCCGGGCCAAGCATCTTCCGCAAAGGTTGGTCATTTACACAATTTATCTTCTTTGTTCTTCTGACAGTGCTATATTAGCTCGCTGAAGAAAAAATGGGAGCCGATTTCCCGCTCTTAACGTAATTTATACGGACCGGGTGGGGCCCACACAGCAGGTGGGCGTGGACTAATTTTTTTTCAGTGCTTATGCTGCGCATAACGGGATAAACCATCAGCGACAGCCTTAAAGGGCGAAGCCTATATGAAATAGAACCGTTGTTTTGTACGAAGGTTTTCTAGCCACAGGCTCATTTGCAAACCCAGTCCTTGGTTGGACTTTTATATAAAAACAGCTAAAATAAAATTAAAATGTAATTAAAATTAAACAGTTCCTTCACACACATGCCTGCTCCTCCATCCCCATGGGGCTCGGTGTTCACAGATTTGGTTTTGTTTCAACCATTTTTTCACCTGGGAATAGATCTGTTAATGTTTTTATTGCCTTTGGTAAACTGTTCCAGATATGAGGAGCTTTAAATGAGAAGGAGCATTGACCAAATGATGTTTTGTATTTTGCAGGTTTGCAGTCTCCATCAACTGCACCTTTTGTTGCAACTCCTTTGCTGCTGACTTTTAAAACCATTCTGCTCACCAGCTCTGGGACAAGACCATTAATGCATTTAAAAGTCAATTTTAAACAAGAACATTTAAAAAAATGTCACAGCTTAAGAAATTATATTTCTCCAGTATTTTACACTGGTGCCACTTCAATGTTTTGTTTTGTTTTTTGTCTTAAAACTTCCAGTCCTTGTGAATACAACATCCTCATAGGTTTTAAAGCAGATTGAGTTGCTTGGCTCCAGACAGTGACACACTATGAGAAATGAGACAGAATCATGGCATCTAGGTACAACTGAGCAGATTTTCCACATAAACATGATCTTTTCTGTTAGTTTTGGTCAAAGCCTGAAAGAGCCGCTGCAGAGGGACCAAAGAGCCACAAGTTGCAGATCCCTGAGTATGTGGGATGCACCCATGGAAATCTTACTGCTAAGGTCAGATGTATCATACTTCTATTGACTCTTGTTTTGAGCTTCTGGTACCTCAGGTGCTGATAATCTGGGGCCTGATTGGCATCTGGTTACCAGCACCTATGAGCAACCAGTGACAATCCAATACATCTCTACAGTCAGACCAAACTCCTGGATGACAATGCTTGACCCCACAGGGTGGGGTTTATCAGACTACCACCTGATTTTGGAAGTGGAGAGGATGGAGCCACCAGTCTGTAGTCCTGACCTCAACCCCATTGAAAACCTGAAGGATCAGCTGAAGCAGGCTCTTTGTTTTATAGTAACTATCATAACCACATTGACTGACATACAACAGGTTAAAGAATGAGATGCCATCCCACAGCAGTGTGTGACCAAGCTGGTGAGCAGCATGAGAAAGAGGCTGTTGTGGCTGTGTATGGTCCTTCCACATGCGAACAAGGATCCTATTTGTTAAAATTGTCAATATGTCTTATTTCTTCAGACTTTAATCGTCCAGTCCAATAAAGAAAACCAAGTGTCAATAACAGAATAAGTTGTTTGGTATAGAAGTTTTTTTCATGAGCACAACCCACATACTTAACTGCTGCTCAACCTACAAATGCATTTTACCAACAAATGTGGCACCGTTTAAGAGTAAATAAACAGGTTTTACAACAGGATAAGATTTACTGCCAAGAATCATTGCTACAATAATCAACCAAACCCTTATTCCTTTACTGTTTGTGCTCAGATTATACTAGTTTCACATTTGTATTCATTTGATTTAAACGCAGTCATGCTGTGTGCAAATAAATATAGCATTCTGCTTAAATTCTGTTAGCAAAAATAATGATCTTTACAAGTTCTTATGACGGGAGCTTTGCCGCCTTCTAAAGTGGGGAGCTGAACTAAAATGTCAACAAAATCAATCCTGCCGGGCAAAATGATTCTTAATCTTTATAGACGTATTTATACCTCACAAAAAAGGTTTATCCACTCTGATATCGAAGAGTAACGACTACGTAAGTAAACTAGATTAGCCGAAGCATGGTTGAGCCAACATACATTTTTAGAAAGCGGTTATCAGGAGGACAGAGAGAGCCACTTAATCTGAGTGGGATTAAAGTTACTTCATGAACTTTGCTGCTTTTACACCATCGAGCCCCGAAGAATAGAAGGACGAGCTTTTCAGAGTGCAGAGCTTATCAGTGGAAAGTAAAGCCAAACGCCAAAAGCTCTAAAAAAAGACAAAAACAGAAAGATCTGACCTGCAGTAGAATGGTCCCTAACCCAAATCCAGATTTACCAAAGCAACTTTAACGCTCCTTAAAGAAAAGGAAAGGTTGTTGTAGAAGAGTTAAACCACTCCTGCTCAGCCTGATTCATGCCGTCTTTGGTGACTGGCTCTTTAATATTCAAACTGATATTTTTAAATTCATCGTTTAAATTTAAATCAGCAGAAAAACAGAAATTTGAAGCTAAATACTTTAAGAGGATTTAGAGTTGATCCTCCGTTAACAAGGAACCAGTTAAAACGGTAATTTTCACTTTTTTTTTTTCAGGAACTGGTCCAGTTATTTAGTTTAGAGGTTCGCTCTGAAAGCTCTGTTTTCTCAGTGCTGCGTGTTTTCTCGGCAGGTTCAGGTGTGAGCCCCCAGCCTGAGCTCCCCCAGGGCCAGATGGACTCTCTGCTCTCCATCATCTCCAGCCAAAGGGAGAGGTTCCGCTCCCGCAACCAGGAACTGGAAGCTGTGAGGCCACACGAACACACGGCACGTTTTCCTGTTTGTCTCTTAGAGGAATGAGCGTCATGTGTGTGTGTTTGCTCTGACCTCCTCCCTGCAGGAGAACCGCTCCGTGCAGCAGACCATGCAGGCCCTGCAGAACGAGCTGGACAGCCTGAGGGCCGACAACATCAAGCTCTACGAGAAGATCAAGTTCCTGCAGAGCTACGCGGGCCGAGTGCGTGTGCACGGACGACACGTGGCGTTGGGCGTTTTGTTTAGACGTTGACAAACTGTGTGTCTGTCATGTTGTAGGCCGGCGGCAGCGACGACACGGTGATGCGCTACTCCTCCCAGTACGAGGAGAGACTGGATCCATTTTCTTCCTTCAGCAAGCGGGTACAGAACCAGCAGACACGCCTCGCTCAGCTCGTTATCGCTCACCGCCCAAAAGGCGAACGGTGGGCGATAACGTTTTTGTCCGTCTGTGTATGTGTGTTAGTAAAATAGCTCATGAGCTCGTGCACATATTCGACTGGGAGTCTAAAAATAAATTGAGCTTACTAAACGTTTTTCTAAAAATAACGCAAATTTGATGTTCGTCTACAGCTGATTAACGTTTGAAGTCAACCCAATTCAAGATGGCCGCCACAGCTAACTGACTTTAGCAAACGCATTACTTGCTGTAACACTGAAAATACCTATCTTGAGCTAAAACATGTGACCCGCGCAGCAAAATGAGTCCAGCTGCAGTAAAATAAACTAAAATACTGATTTTTACTGTGAGGTTTGAATAAAGTCCATGAAGACGCCACCTGAACCTAATCCGTCTTCTCCAACACACACAACAAATTCACAATAAATTTAATTTGAAATTGACCATTTTTCTCTGCCAGCTGTTGTGGCTCTGGGAAATCCCTTCATATAATGTTTGGCATCATTGTGAAGCTTCTGTTTCCCTTTTTTTAATTTAATTTTTTCAAAATAAAGGGCTGGACTTTCCGATGACGTGGCTCCAGACCGATAATTGAGTTTGAAAAGGTTCGTGTAAACTAAAGTAGTAGCTGAGAGTCATTCCCAGCACGGACTCTAGAGAGACTTCCAGATCGTGTGATATAAGGCGGCAGCTTTAAATACAATTTTTATTGCAGCAAACACAAGATAAACAAATCAGTCACATTTCTTTTAAACTGTTCATCTTAGAAACAGACATTTATGTGTAAAATAAATTGCTTTATTCTATATTATTTGTTTTATGACCTGTTGGTCAGGTGATCAGTGTATTTCTATCTGGTTAAATAAAAGTGATGCTGATCCAACTTCAGTCTTTTATAAACTCAAATCATCTTATAAATTATGAAGATAAACTAGTCTCAAAAGTATTGTAGTCATACAAGCAGACAGAAAGATTTGTATTCGTACCACAAGTTTTACAAAATGCGCACTACAAGAGTCACAAATACAGTTTTTCAAATGACTCAAGAATATTCTGTACTTATAAATGATTAAATCTTATCAGGTCGACTGTGAATGTGACGTGCGAGAATTTCTTGCTGCTCCAGATTCACAAAGGTAATGCTGCGTTCAAGGCTGGTGAAAAGCTGGGACATCTGAGCTTTACCAGATTTATTGATTTATTAGAAAACATATTTCTAACTTGGCACAGCAGCTCATAACCCCTTTATTAAAACACACGTGCTTCCATTCATGGTACTGGATTCCAAAAAATGTTAATTTTGTGAACTGACCAATTAAACAACCCAAAATAAAAACGTTATTCTTCTTGGGGAAAATTTATCTGGGAAAATATAAAATAAATCACTGGAAATTTGTATTTTTCCAGTAGTTTTTCCACAAAAAGCATAACATACTTGTTTTTGATTATTATTTTGGCCGTACTGTCCACAAAATGAACATTTTCTTGTGGAAAAACTACAGGGAAAATAGGTGGTATTTTTTGCGTAAACTTCCACATTTGAAATAAGCTACTCAAAATCGTGAGATATTCTTGCTGTGTAAAAACTACCGGAACAATGTATTTTATGGTATTTTTTAGCAAAGGACCTGTAAATATCTAAAAAAGTTAAATCTGGTCCTCTGGACATTCAAAAAAACCAAAACTCATCTTTCAGGGATGAAGATGTTCACATCCTGGACAGAGAGGAACGATGGTTTGAGAGAGAAGTAAAGGAGGCCATCTTTGTGAAAAGAAATCGTCCATCATTAAACAGGGGTGGAGGCCTCTGGGTTCAACTGTCCCCCTCTTACAATGCTGTGATTGCTAGTATCACTCAGCCCTCTGTGAACAGTAAACAGCCATCAGTGTGCTAATGATCCATTGTTAGGCTGATGGTCCTTCTTGAGCATGTGATCAGCTGGTTTTGGTTGTCAGCAGCAAACTGGTTGATCCACTCTGAGAAGGTGCTATTTAAGAGACTGAGCTGAAAACAGCACCTCAGACTGAGGAAGTCTCTCGGATGAGAGACGAAACGTTTCTACATTTTTTTGTTGATTTGCTTTGTTTTGTTTTTTTGAATGTCCAGAGGACCAGATTAAACTTTTTTAGATTTTTCTACCTGGATTATTGAGCATGCATCAGGAGACCTGTAAATATATTTTCCGGGTTTTAATCAAAGGAAGAACAATAAGCAGTACAGTAGTCCCTCGGTTATCGCAGGCATTATGTTCAGGACACCCCCGCGATAGATGAAAAACTGCGAAGCAGGAACACTATTTATTTTAGTATTTATCTATATTTTAAGGCTTTATAAACCCTTCCCACACTCTTGCAATGCTCTAAACTCTTAAACTTCCATCATTTTAACACCAATTGTTGCTTCTGACTTTGCATTGTAAAACTTTCCCTCCATTTCAGCAGAAAGCAGCAGCCAGAAGCACTGTTGGCTTCTGGGTAGTGTAGTTCTTTTGACCTGCGTTACAATATAAGCTTATTGAAAGAAAACTACATAATGGCGGCGCCTGTCCGAAGTATTATTTTTTCGTTAACTTTTTATCCCGTACTGTCCCAATCACGTGAGTAATATTAAAGTTGACAATCATGCGTCATGTACAGTCTTGCATTGAAAAACCATAAAAGAGCGAGTCTGTGAAAGTCGAACCGCGAAGTAGCAAGAGACTACTGTACGCTTATAAATCTTGTACACTCGTGCGACTACTTGTCCTCATTTCTCTTCGTTATGAATTGACTTACAGAGCTAAAATTTTGTTTTTCAAGCCGTGACCGTGTTTGTGTTTGTCTGCAGGAGCGTCAGCGCCGATACCTGAGCCTCAGTCCTTGGGATAAAGCCACTCTTAGCCTGGTGAGCCTGGAGCTCCCTCAGATGCGCCGGTGTTGAGTCCAAGTCCAGCCCTGAAGTCTTCTGTCTGTCTGTCTTTCAGGGACGCGTGATCCTCTCCAACAAGATGGCCAGAACCATCGCCTTCTTCTACACCCTGTTTCTGCATTGTTTGGTCTTCTTGGTGGGTTTTCTGTCTCGAATGTAACTCGTTCTTTATCGCTGAAGTGACTGGATTCACCTCTTCGTCTGGGATTTTCCAGGTGCTGTACAAGACGGCCTGGAGCGAGAGCATCGGCAGAGACTGCACCGCGTTCTGTGCCAAAAAGTGAGTTTGGATCAGAACTGAGAGGCAGTCGTTTCTCAGGCTTATTAACTTAATCCCTCTTTTTATTTCCCAGGTACGCTGACCACCTCCACCGCTTCCATGAGGATGAGCAAAACCTTTGAGCTGTCCTTCGTTAGCATCTGCACAATCCCCGAGCATGCCGTTCAGGCTCATTTGTTCCTGTTGTATCTAAATTCTCCATTAGGGGGCATTTTAGTGCATTATTTAAAAAAATGGTTATTTGAGTAGAAAGGAGGTTTAAGTTTCTAATTTCCTGACCTAGTTATATTTTAACTTCATGTTCTTTTTGCTTTTGGGACAACAGAAACCTAAAACACAATAATTATTAGTGCTCTCTGTGTTTAAATCTGATTTAATGAAGAAAATTTGTTTACTGCACCGAAGTGGACCAGGATACTGGTAGTGTGGTTTTGATTAATTTGTTAGATTAATAATCAGTAATGATAATGATGGCAGGTCAACAGGGTGTGGATTAAAGTTAAGGTGGTGGGATTAGTGCAGAAACGGGTAAAGTAAAATTAGATTAATGGGGTTGATTATTGATCAGAAGGTGCAGTTTGATTGTTTTTGGTTTTGAAGTCGACTTATTGTTACTGAAAGAAGACGAGGTGGTTCTGTTGGTTTACAGTTATTAAATCTCACATCTCAATAAACTTTATTTCTGTGCATGTTTACCTTTTAGCCCTCTCTCTTCTGTCTCTGCAGATGTATTCAAATAAAGACTATGCAATCATTTTGTTTTGTAGTATTTTCATCTCAGACATTTATTGGCTGATTGTTTCTGTACAGGTACTACAAACGTAAATTCGGGATTGTTGCATTTAATTTTTATTTTATTGGAAATGTGGTTGTTGTCCTGCTTTTAGATCTGATTAAACAAATTTGTTCTTTGAGGTTTTTAGTTGGGGGAAAGGTAACAAAATATTTTAACCTGATGACTAATTTGTCAAAAAAGAGAGATCGTGTTTCATAAGAAAGAAAATAAACACGTGGATTGTGATGTATTGTTTATACAGTAGTCCTTCGTTTATCGCAGGGGATCTGTACCCTGAAGACCTGCGAAACGTGAAAAACCTCAAGTAGGAATAGTACAAGTAGTAAGTAGTAGTTTATTTTAGACGTTTTAAACATCACACACTTGCAATATTCTAAACCATGTTTTTAAACTAAACGCTCTAAAAGAGCACAGCATGTCATTATTTCAGCTCCCTGCCTCCAGTTGCACTCGGCCGCTCCCACTTCTCCGCTCTGCACGGAGATCAGCTGCAGGAGGAAGCTTCTCCCACAGATGTGAGCTGCACACAGATGCTAAATAATTTAAAATAATTTATTTTAAATTAAAAATTCCATGCAGATCATGAGGCTCATCCATCAATCAGCCAATTGTGTGTCATGTCCAGTCTTTGGAAAAACCACGATGGAACGAATCCGCGAAAAACGAACCGCGAAGTAGCGAGGGACTGTGCAAGCAAATAATGTTGAAACGTACAAAAAAAATCTAATGTCTGTGATTGAATTCAACACAGAGAAATATTCAGGTGTGATGTACAGTACTAGGCAGAAGTTTTGAACCACCACTAAATTATTTTAAATTGGTCTTTGGTCCCAAGTTTTTATGCAGGAAGATTAGGGCCAAAAAAATTTAATTTATTTCCCGAGTATGTTTTTTCTCTCCTAATTTTTTTTTTCCTCAAATTATGAGAAAATCAGAATTTGGAGGAAAAGTCTGAATTCGTGAAAACATTAATTTTTGGACAGTGGCACTAATTGTCTTCCGTACACTGGCAGTGCAACTTTTCAGAAGGTCTTTCAAAGTTTTTTTTTTTTTTTTTTTTTCTTGTACTTTCTGTGAAGTCCTGGTACCGGACTGAGACAGCATATTGTTTCAGTTTGGGCTTTAAAAAGATGGGAATGTGTTACGCTAACCAATTTATAGCAGACAACCAGCTGGTTTTAATTTTTGTTAAGAAGCAGGAAAAAGACCAGCAAAGATCTGACAGCATCAGCCCATGTCAAGTTTTTAGCTAAAAGCTCTTTGAGAATCACATTATTGTTTCTAAAATATTTCTTTGAATTATTAAAATTGTAACTTATTTATTTTAGATGATGAACAAATGTGGGAACAAATTATTTGACTACAGTAGTGGCTGGTATCAAGTATCTAGCAAGTTGTGTGCAACTTGTCTTTTCTAATAAAATTGTCCAACATTTCAGATTAAAAGTGTTTTTCTGCTTCATAGTTTTAGTGCCAACACGACACTGGTTCAGCCCTGGAGTTTATCATCCTTTTTATATTTGATTTATGCATCAAAATTAAATGATAACTTGGTGAGAAAGCAAACAAAGACCAACTTTCGGTCTTTGAAAGACCTTCAGAAGCACGTAGTTCAAAACAACCGTTTTATTTTACTACACTGACTTAAAGAAGCTGAAGACATCGATCTTGAGGGTTCATTATTACCGTGTGAACATGTAGCCAATATGTTTATTGTGTACATTTCTGACTGCTTGGAAACAAGACAAAATTAATCTATTAGTGAGTTCTGTTTTAGCCTCCAACACATAATGAGAGACGTGGGAGCAGGTGGTGTTCAAGTGGAATGTGTCACTGATTAAAGATGACCCTAGTGTAACTTTTATCTTTAAATACAAATTTGGCAAATAAAAAACAAACGTGACAGAAAGAAGTGAATATCACTAGCTATGAATAAAGCTTCAGGTCTGCTTCAATTATTCTGCTTAAATATTTGAACGTTTTTCTATTGAAATGCAAAAATAAAATAAGTCATTATTCCATCTGTTTTACAGACGTTGAGCTAAACCTAGGTTCTCGCCCGGGTAGATAAGTCATCCCATACTTTTCCTTGACTAGCAGTATAAGTATACTTTACTTATAGTTGACCAGTATAAGTAAAGTATATTTATACTTTGAGACATCACATACCAAGACATCATTGTAAAAGAGATTAATAGTCTCTGGATTTCTTCCTGGTAAAATAAAGGTAAAAATAAACCACTCTTAGTTAGAGTCCCATACTTCGAGTCACCCCATACTCATTATTTCAAGTCATTCCATACTCATACTTTGAGTATTCCATAGGCCAGTGGTTCCCAACCCTGTTCCTTGAGGAACACCATCCTGCACATTTTAGTTGTTTCCCTGCTCCAGCACACTGGATTCAGGGATTTAATTAGGTTCTCTCGTTATGCAGAAGCCTATAAATCACCCATTTATTAAAATCTGGTGTATCTTAGCAGGAAACAACTTAAACATGAAGGATGATGTTCCTCAAGGAATCCCTGCCATAGGCTACTTATATTTCGAATCACCCCATACTCATCTTTTGAGTCATCCTGTACTCGTACTTTGAGTATCCCACACTTCGAGTCATCCCGTACTCATGGCTTTGAGTGCTAACAGATGGTGGGACATCTTTGCTTCAAACTTTATCATGCGAGGTGCAGGTGATATGCATTCCTTCAAGGACTGCTACAATCATGCCGTATAATTTGAGTTAATGATTGACCTTTGACCTTTTTTCCTGTTTTAACAGCTGACTCAAGAAGAAGAAGAAGAAGAAGAAGGGGAAACGATGGAGTAAGGTCTGAACCATTAAGAAAAACATCCTAATGTGCTGATCAGGGATTTGGACCTCCGTACTCTCACTTAAAGCTGCCCCCATTCCCCACAGACCTGAGCTGGACTGCATAATTCATGAGAGACCTCCTCTCAGCCATTAAAGCCTGGCAGTCCTCTTCCTCCTGCACTTTTCTCTGCACCTTAAACTTCGTTTTGCTTATCAATCAGAGCAGACTCTGAGCTATCTCAGCACAATTACAGCCTCACAGTCACCTTTAACCCCAGACTCATCTACACACACACACTCACACGCACGCACACACACACACACACACACACACACCTGTCACACACACACACATCTGTCACACACACACACACACACACCTGTCATTCCCATCATTCTTGCATCTATATTCCTTATCTCGGCTTCTCCAGCTGCTCATCACCAGCTGAAGCCTCCATCCTAGGTCTTAGTGAGCCTTAACTAATCTGAACGAGTGATTTGTTTAAGTAATTGGACAAGTAGGTTTGAATACAAACAGGAGAAAAAACAAAATTTAGTAGAAAAATGTCTTTGTTTAATGTTGTTTAAGTGCTTATTATTTCACAGAGTCAGAATGTCATTAGGCCAAAATGAGCTGCTGCAGAAATAAATCTGTTTCAAACCAGTGACAGGTTTGAAATGGAAAGATGTGAAACATCAAGTGGAAAAATATTCTAAAGTCTCTTCCCAGGAGAGACTCCCCATTGAACCACAGGAGCTGCAACCACAAAACAAGACGCCAACAGACACCTGCCTGTGAAACTAGACGAGAGGAACTTTTCTGATGTTTGAAGCATCAGCACTTCTGCCCTCGCTCACTTCATCTTCTTCAAACGTGCAATTTAATCACAAGAGTTTTTAAAATCAGGACTGTTAACTCGTATTATATTTAGGCCTGAAGCTCTGAGACAATAAAAATCTCACCAACTGGGAAACTTTGACTCGTTTAAATGTTTCATAGACAGATGGTGTTATTTAATTTAATGCATGTAGATGATAAATGTCACATGTTATGGTTTTGACTTGATCTTAAACAATATTTAACTCTAAAACTAGTTTTTCACACAAAAGGCAACTTTATAGATTTTTATCAAGTTGGCACTACCTAGTGGACTAACATGGTCATAACACGTAAATCAAGAATTTGAGAAGTTTGCATTTTGTGAAATCCACTTCTTAATTAATTTTTTTAAAGTTAAAATAGATGGCTTAGACAAAGCAGCGTTTAATACTTTATATTTTATTAACAGTTCAGTTAAATCAACAACTTTACTGCAATCGTTGTTCCTGAGCTCTGCAGAGTAACTTTTACTGAAAGATCATGAATTCTGATGTACTGCGTCACTATTTATTTACTTTATGTTGTCTTATGTAATCTATGACTTGTTTGTTGCATCATTGATATTTTATTAATGGATGACCATTATCCTAGACTAGCTAATCAAAAATAAAACAGTTTTGAGGCCCAAACTGGGTTTATTTTGGTGTAAAATCTCACATCAGAATCATTGTTTTTTTCAATAAGACAAGTTTTAACAAAGTTTTGGAAATACACACATCAAGGTTCTGTTTCTCAGACATCCCTGATGTCTCTGATTTATTCGTGTTTACTGAAAAAATAACAAAAAGCTCCATAAATATGAAACAGTCAGACGTTTTGCCTAATGGTTTCACTGGTTCCTTTAGTTTTAATAGCCTGATGTTGTTACTGCAGAGAACGGGTTGTTTGGTTGGTCAGAGAATTTCCTTAGCAGCAAATGCCAACCTGCATCAAGAAAACCAGAAGTATATCAAAACGAAAATTAGATAAATCAAAGTGTTCACCTCCACTTTTACCCATATTCAGCTGGTCTTACTGTTTCAGATGCTCATGTTGTAGTGGGATGCAGCTTCTTTGCCATATTCATTTTGTTTATTTATTTTTGTATTATTTGGTGTCTGCAACAAGTTATTTACATAAACATATTTATTATTCATATATTTGCTTATTTCTATTTGTATTTATATTCAATAAATTGTAACTTTACTGCATGCAGAGTGACCCCACTGCTTCCAGTTTGTTCCTCTCTCTGGTTAAAAACAACCAGATGTTTTCGTATCTATTTTT